TTATATTCCTTCCTTTTACTTCTAACAGTCTTAATCTTTAATTCAATCAAATACTGTCATAGGATTTGATTTCTCTTTAATTCTTCTTTATTCCATTCCACAGATTTCTTCAAGGCTTTAATAAGCCTCTTTTGTAGATCCAATAAGAAAACATCTTCCAGGTCATTCTCTTGGTTTATCATTTGTATTTCCCTTTTAATTTTTTAAAACTTCAACCAGTTTCTTTTATACAGTATATCCAGTAAAGCATCCTTTTCCAAATCATTCTCTTCGCCTGTCATTTGTAGTTCCACATTCTGTACTTTCACTATCTAGTCAGATAAAATTTGTTCCACATCTGTCATTCCTTCATTAACATCTTTTAGACATAGTCTTTTCATAGAAGACATCATTACTGACAGTGTTAATATTGTAATTACTAATTTCTGGCTCCATTCTTCAAAGATTTCCTTTAATGTTTCCAATGCTATAATGTTTTGTATCATTTTGTAAGTCCCACTATTAAGTGATATCAAGAACAGGCTTGTATTTTTTTTCCTTCTGCTTAGAATCTTTAGTCCCCTCTAGTGTCTAGTTCCTAAAATCATAAAATAATTTATCTTTGTTATGACTTGCAATAGCCAGGATAGCCAAAGTAAGTCTGTTTCCCATAAGAAGCTGTTTATTTTTTATAGTTAATTCCAAACTCTTATAGTAAAAGTCAATATTCCAAATTTATCTGGATTCTTAATCCATTTATTGCTTTCTTAGATCAAAAGCTTATTTAGCTTTTTGCTGTTTATTTCAAATTCTTTAAATTCTTAAACTTATAATTAATTTTTCTTTTTTTCAGAGTTGAAGTTAAAACTTACCCAATGACTTTTCAAACTTGCCATTCTGAAGGTCTCTAATAGCTTTAAAATGGTTAATAAGCAATTTCTGAAAGTGATTAGAAAGTGAGGTTTGCGAACTTAGCGTCCTTTAAACAGCTCTACCATGGTTGCGAGCAATACGGCTGATCCCTTAGTCTCCTGGTGCTCAAACCCACAGAAACCCACTGACCTGTGGTCTCATGAGGAGCAGCCATCTGGAGCAAATGTAGGCAACCTCCCTTCCTCTCCTTATCCGGAGAGGTTCCAAGGAACCAGTCTACTCACTAGTTCCTTGGTCTTTGCCATGGCTGTTGGCCCCACTTTCACAGAGATGTCTTCAGCCCACCATACCTCCCCTGGAAGTCCACCTATCTAGAGATTTTTGAAGCAACAGAAAACAGGTTTTTCCCTCTTTTTTCAGAAATAAATGGAATTTTGAGAAGAACTAAAACATATACTTGATTTTTAAAAACATTTATAAAATTTATTATATGTAATTATTTTTATAAAACTGTATTGGAAATCTTCATTTATTCATAAAATAATTATAAATTTATTAATTTAATTTGCTTTAAAACCTTTTTAAAGTTTGTTACAAACACAGCTACAATTTGTTTAATACTTTTAATATAATTTTTATTAAATAAATTTTTAAAAGAATAAAAATATAAATTTCAAAAGGAAAAAGGAAAGTAATGAGTAAGTGAAAAAAGTGTAAAGAAAAAATGGGAAGGGAAGGGAAAGGAAGGGAAAGGAAGGGAAGGGGAAATTATAAAGAAATGCCTACGGGTCTTAACAGCAGTTACATTTATATTTTACCCTCTCTCTCCAAGTTTACAACATAATTTCCTTCTTTCCACAGTTTACTCTTTCTAAACATCCAACCCATAAATCACAGGTTCATTTTTTTTCTTTTTTCAGCAAAAAGTCCATAAGGAGTTTCCAGTCACTAATAAACATAGTTATCATCCTTTCTCTAAACAAACAAGTCAATTTTGCCATCTCTGCTAATTTTGTCATTGTTCTAAGTATTCCAAAATATCCAGTACATTTCTAGTATTATCTCTTAACTGTCTTTTGGGTAAAAACCAACATTGTTCTTCATGAATAAAGTCCTGTAAGGTCATTTTCATCCTCTCAGCTAAAACCATCATAAATAATTTATAGTCATTATTTAATAATGGTAAGGTAATTCAATAAGGGTGAATAATTCAATAATTATTCAATAAGGGTGGTAATTTTGACCTTCTTTAGGTATTAATGCTAAATTAGCCTCTATCCAACTGTCAGGTATCTTTCCAGTCTGTAAAATAGAACTCACAATTTTTTGCAATAGTTGTAATAATTCATCTTCAAAATGTTTATAATAAGAGGCTACTAAACCCTCTGGTCTGGGCACTTTCCCTATTTTTTGCCTTTTTTATGGCTCACAAACTTCCCTTATTGTTATAAGTCCATTCATTAATTGTTTTTCTTAATCTTCAGTAAGTTTTGTTCCTTTAAATATTCTTCAATCTTTACCAGGGAAACTTCTTTTTCTTTATGCAATTTAGAATAACATTGATTTTTTTTTGCATTTTTGAATTATCTGTTAATATGGTGTTTCCATCTTGTAATTTTAATATTATTTTTTTTCCTCTTTTTCTTTCCTCAGTTTATATGCCAACCATTTCCCAGGCTTATTTGTAAATTCAAAATTCTTTTGAAAATAATGGAAGAATTGTTTACTGTTTCTTTGTGCAAAAATGTTTCATTTAACCTCCATCTGAAGGAACTGATTTTCCTTTAAATGCTAAAGTCACTGGGTTGTGATCTGAAAAGTCTTTGGAAGTATTTCCACTTTGTGAGCACTAGTAACCAAATTCTTAGATATCCAAAACTTATTAATTCTTGAAAAAGATCTATGTCTTTCAGAAAAATAAGTATATTCTGTTGCATCACCATTTTTGTACCTCCATGCATCTACAAGCTCTAAATTGTCTAAGATAGATAGATATAGATGTAGATATGTAGATATATAGATATAGATATAGATAGTTTACCTTGTGTCACTTTAATATCTTTCTTAGAAATTCTATATTTTGGGAGAAAATTACTCCACTCCAATCTCCTATTAAACACCAATTTTCATATGGTAACTTCATTAGTTTATCCATAAGTTCTTTGTAAAATGTTATTTTATCCTCATTTGGAGCATAAATTCCCATTATCAGAATCTTGGTCTCATGCCAAGTAGCTTCAACCCCCACGTATCTGCCATAATCATCAGTCAATATTAGTTCTGGTTGTAATTGGGGTTTATATATAAAACGACTCCATTTCTCTTTTTGGCTCCTGCTGAAATAAATTCTTCATTCAAATTTTTATAAATCACATATTTTGTATCCTTTTTTCTAATATGCATTTCTTGTAAACAAACTACATTTTGTTTTAATTTTTTTAAGTAAGGAAATAATTTTCTTCTTTTTCGAGGAGCATTTGCTCCATTTATATTACAAGTTAAATGTAATATAAATTTATTATATTACATTTAAAATCCATATTTCTGCCAAAAATTTCTGTCAATATCTGCAGCGCCTAATGTGGTGGTGTCCTCCTCAATTTCTTTTTGTGACTGTTGTTTAGTGCCCTCTGTCACTTCCATTTGCATTTCTTCCAATTCCAAAATTCTTTAAATTTTTCTAGGAATTCTCTTGCTGTTTGGAGTAAATTCAGCCTAAACCTCTATTTAAAGGTGAAGATCACTCCTTCCAATTTATCTCATCGCAATGGTATCTTTTTCTGTTTGAGCTTGTCAGGTAAAAAAAAACAAACAAAAAACTCTTCATTTGCACAATATTCTGATCAGGATTTCTTTAAGTACAATCACTTCTGCATTATTGATCTTTAGTCTGGTAGTAAAATGCTGCTGCAAAACTTGGTCTCTAGATTTCTTCCTGACAAAGAGCACAGGAATATCGTTTGGTGTATTAATTCTGCAAATCATGTGCTGATTCTATACACTTTGTCAATTTCTGCCTCCATATCACCTTTATCCCATTCCAAAAAGTTTGTTAAAGATTGAACAATCTTTCCTCTGGGTTCTTCTCCAGGATCCTCTGGAACTGCTCTAAGGCTTCCTCTCAATTCCAGTAATGCCAGATTGTCTTTTTCCATATTTCCGTTTATTATTTCTGTTTTACTTTGTAAAAATTTCCACTTTGTCATTAATTTAACGTCTCTTGTAAGTTGTCCTATAGATTCAATTTTTTTTGTAACTTCTTTTATCTCCTTTTCCACCTTTACAAACCTTTCTTCCATTCTCACTTCAAATGCAACTAGCTCACTCTGAATAGATTTGACAGATTCAGAGACCTGCTTCCCCATCTCTTCAAACATCTTTGGGAGTGATTCCCTTTTTTGTCGGTTGCTCTAACTAACCTCTTCTTCCTTCACCCTGCTTCAGAGTTTTCTGGTGGTTGCCAATTTTTTTATTTATAATCCAAAAGTAGAAGTAAATCAATTACTTTACAGTTTACAATTACTTTACAGTCTTTTAAAAACATTATTTTCCTCTTTGCTTTAGTTTCTATAATTCAGAAGGCTGACTCACTGAGAGGTTTTCTTTGTCCCACTATTTTCAAAGACCTCTATTCAACTGTAAATTGATTGCATCCAGAAGTGATCAAGAAAGTGAGGGTTTGCCGAACTTAGTGTCCTTTAAAAGGTTGTGTTTGCATGTGTGAGTCTCTCTCAACCCCCTGCCGCCCTACTCATGAGAAAACTTCCATCCCGTGGTCTCCGCATGAGGAGCAGTAGTCCAGGGTGCAGGTGGGCAATTTCTTGGTCTCTCCTTTATCCAGAAAGACTTCACTGGCCAGAAATCACTGCTGGCTGCCATTCACTGCCACAGCATCATCTCTGCTCTTTCAGAGATGTCTGCTCCACCACAGAACCTCACTTGGAAGCCCCACAATTGGTTTAATACTAAGGAATATAACATCTCTTTATTTCTCCCTAAAGGGAAAAGGCAAGGAAAAATTCTGGAATTTGTCCTCTGCTATATCAAAGGTACTGAAGACATTAATTTTCAGGGAGAAAGCTGAAAATAAAAAGGGAAGGGAAATGCAAAATGGGAATATCCATTTTGCTACATGGAACATTGTCCACTCTGTCTCATTTACTGAATCTGAAATACTATCAATAGTTTCTATTTTGTCATCATTTTTCATGTGCTTTTGAAAATGGAGATTTACCTGTATTTACATTAGGTTCTCTACCTTTTCTTATAATAGTTTATTTTTATTCTGTGTGTTTCTTATTCTATGCCACAGCAGTAGGAGTAGACAGACAATAGGCGGGCTGGCTAAAAATATTTGAAATTATACATTATATTGTCCAGATGGCGGCTTTGGATAACTACTTGCCAACTACTGCAGAAATTCTCACACACACTACCTTCAGCAGATAGGGAGCACCCTCCTTAAATTGGTTATATAGAGAAAGTGTTGAAGCTATTACAATTACCTTGACCTGACAGCAACATAAACTTCACCATGGCTAAACTGGCTCAGCATGTACACTTTACTTCTCCCTTTTCACACCCTGGTGGGCATCTAGTGAGGGGACATCTGCCACTGCAAGGCTCAGGCAAAGCTAAGTGGTGCTTTATGCTGAGGTAATGGACTTCTCCCATATGGCAGATAAAGTGTGGGAGGTTAGGATTTGCAGAGTTGATAGCTGGCTGTCTTGGCACTGAAACTTCAGCTATAGCTTCATAGATGATGACAGTAGGAACAAGAGCACAGAACAGTGAGGCACAGTCTGAGAAAGTTTGGTATAAATGGCTTCCACTTTGTGCTTTATTATGCAGAATGCCTTATTCTGGAAGACAACAGCACCAAAGAGCTTACAATACCATTTAGAATCATATGGAGAAAATGCTGTATGATTGCTTCTATAGCAGTGAGAAGAGGCAGATTCTTGACAAGACTACCCCAATGTCAGATTTCACAGAATTTCATGGTGAAACACCACCTGCCTTTTATTTCTTAAACATGAGGTAGTGGTGCGTGACTTGTGAAGGCAGGCAGAGGTGTGCTGCCTTCAAGAAGTGCTGTTGCACTTAAAACACATCACCAAACATTGCATACCTGATTATTATATTTTTATTCTTTATGTATCTCTATGTTGTTACCTTTATTCTATTCTTGCCATCACTTTGGCAAGTACAAGCATTACCCCATCCCTTGGGGAGGATTCTTGGTTCCTTTTGAAGGAGGAAGTATCTGTAGGCTCTTGCATATTGTGGGATGGATGTTATGTTACTTTAGTGAGCAGAATAATAATAGATAAAGTACCCTTTGTGGGATTAATGCTGATCCTGATTGGATCTGGCTGTAATGCCTGCCACATTCCCACCAATAGTATCCCAGATGAAAGAATGCTATCCAGAGCAGATGACATGGTGAAGATGAAGTTTCTGATCATCCGCAAAACCAGCTGTCCTTATTAGATATTCTCAAACTGCCAATGGACAATGATCAAGATCTAGCTTGTTCCCTCATGTCTAAAATAATCATCAGACATTTCTACCTCAACATCAACCTAAAGAAACAATAATGACCCCTGCTGCTGCTGGCTCCAATCACTAACCGGTCTGGGTGAGACCAGGTGGTTCTGCTCTAAAGTCATGTCACGCTATAGAGATGACTGACTAGCTGGGCAAAGTACGCAAAATTTCTTTGTTGATCTCTGACAGAGGTTGTAAATGCAAAAATATGCACTATACATATATGTCAGGAAGAAAATTCAAGCCAACACTGAAATAAGGAATTTTATTAATATGGTGCTCATAGGCTGTACTGAAGTGAAGCACTGTGTGTTGCTGCCTTTACCACGTTTTTGTGGCTATTTCACTAGCTATAAAAAAATTGCTTAATTGTTGCTTCCACTGTTTGCTATGGATTTAAAAAAAAAAAAAAATCAAACATCCCCTTGGCTAGTTAATCTGAGGTTGGGGGGAACTGGCCTACACTATTATCCCACCTACTTTTATGGATAAAGTACAAGGTAGCCAGAGGCTTAATTCAAGTTCTATTGGTTTCTAATGTGGAACACTTAAAACATTAACTTTTGTTTCTTAGGAACACAGGGCACCAAAAATGTTATGATGGAATGTTCCTAGTGGGGTAGTTAGGTTCTAAGTTTGTAACAAAATTTAGTCAAGATAAATAAAAGAATTCTGGAAGATCTGGAAGTTGAAGTCCACACATCTTCAAGCTGCCAAGTTTGAGAAACACTGTTCTAGATTATCTATGGACTTTAAAAACTTAAGCATCTTTTCTTTTCATGACAAAGCAAAATCTACAAAATATTTAGTAATAAACCAGGAAAAAAACCTTAAGAAGATACCTCTTTGTCTCCCAGCTTATAAATTATAATTTTGATTTACAAAACATATTTGATCCATGTATATTAGGATGTAAGTCCTCACTGAATACAACATAGCCATTAATACATACAATTACAATTTATGCCTGTCCAGCATAAATTCACTTTAATATATGTAAAACCATTTTGCATCATTACAAAATGAAGTCTAATTTTCTATGCTGTGAAGGCAAACATGGTTGCCTAGTACTATAAAAACTGTTACCTCATCAAAAATGATAAGTGAAAATAATGCAGAGAAATGTAACACCACTGGAATGGTAGTCAGTTTTAACAATGTCAAATGGAAGTAACTTGAGATAGTGCAAAACTATTTATTTTTTTAAGCAAAACTGTTGCATTTTCCTCAGGAATCCAATAAGCACTGTTACATAGTAGATCCTAGGTAAAATGGAAAAAAAATCTACGCTGTAAAAACTATTCTTTTCACAAGAGAAACTTCTAATTGTTTAACAGGCATTACAGTATTATTAAAATAGAAGATACCAGTAGTCAAATATACTGTAGCTATATTAACTAATGGTTCTCAATTTTTCCCACTGGAGGTAGATTCATATTCTCTAGTCTTGATTCATACACTGTATTTTATCTCCATCTAAGACCTTAATACAATAATTCCAATATTTTCTTTTACTTACTTCACCCTCAGATCCTTGGCTATCTGATTCTTCTTCCATGATTCTTCTGTTAAATTTTCAATTTTCTACTGACCACTATACCAAGAAAGGTTGTTCATTTAATCATTTTGCATATTTTTGTGCTCAATTATTACTGTTCTAAAGGCAAGCTTAAAAAATATTAAGTACTCATTTCACTCTCAACAAATAATTCAGCACTTGCACTTAGATAGTATTCTAGTGCAGAGAGATTTGCTACCACTGGAGTATCTCTATAATCATCACTCAAGCAGAATTACATGTTTTGTACAACTCTGCTTGAAGATATACAAAGGAAGTGTTATTTGCGAATACTGATCAAGTTTGTTTACAATTCTTAACTGAAGAGCTATGCTAAATCATTACAAGACAGCTCTCCAGTTAAGAATCACAAACTTGTGATGCACATTAGTTGATTGAGCTTCATGTGTATTCATTGTGTATAATATAATGAATACATACAAAGCTCAGTTTATTAAGGGACATCATTATCCAGCTATAATGAGATCCTACTCCAAAACAATTCTGGCTTATGGCTATTTGGTGCAGAAAGGAGCCCCAGTTCTTTAAGGAAACGGATATTCCCTTTAAAAGAGCAATCAAATCTATCACCACACCTTTAATAATTAAGGTTGCTCACAAACTTCCCATAGTGTAAACTCACCAACATTCCTCATGGAATATAATTGCAAATTGAGGGTTTTTTCATCATAACTGAAAGAATTTTCCAGACTAGTATGCAGCATTCTTATTCTACAAAAAGAGATTCCATACAACTGTCCTTTTGTTAAAGTGACCACGCCTTCCTACTAGGCGTTTACACATAATTCATGAGAATTCTTATAAAACCGCTAGATCTTTTTTTTTAAAAACTTCTTAAACATCAAGCACACAATGTTGGGACATACTATTATACTATATATCCATTTTGTTGGAGAAGAATGAATCAAAATAGGAATTTAGTAGCTGTGTTTTTTTCTTTCTAAGTGTTAACATTTTTGCTATCATTTCCAAGCTGTTTGTATAATGGTTCTTTTCTTTTCCTTTTATTTTGAACATATCTAAAGAAGCCCTTTTCGATATTCTTAGCGTCCTCTGCTGAACTTCAGATCTTTCCGAGCTTTTGCTTTCTTCATACAAACTCTGTTATTCTGGGCAACCTGTCTATTCTGTCCATCTCCCTCCCCCCCTCCCCTTTCAGATCTTCGCTAAACCTTTTGTGCACCTATATTAGTTTCTTCTCATATTGTCTTATTTTTCTCATTGGAACTGTGCCTTCTGGATCTCTTCCCTTAGTTCCCCTATCCATATTCAGCTTCTTTCCCCATTAGTCTCTCCTACCATGGGATCCTGTTTAAAAAGAGTTTATTAACATATCTTTTTTCTGAAAAAAATTGAGGCATTTGATTACACTCAGTTTTGGAATCCCTTAAAATCATTAACTCCAGCATTATATGGTCATATTCTCACAACGTCATATTCCTTCTACTTCCTCAACTAAGTTTTCCCTACTGATTAATATAAAGTCAAGTATAACTGGTCCTGTTATGTCTTTTTTCACCCTTTGAAGGGAAAACTGTCAACAAGTCAAGGATACTTGGATAGTCTGCAATAGACCAAATTTGTCTCATATTGCTAAGATTTCTTCCCTCTTTGAAAGATCTGCAATTTGCTTTCAGAAGGTATCATCCACGTCTATTCAGTTGGGTACACGTTAACAGGCAGCAACAACAGCAAAAATAAATTGCTTTAATTTGTTCTTCCTTGCCATAGCACATAGTCAAGTCATTCATCGGGATTTCAGAGAAGGAATGAGTATGTGTAACATACGTACAATTCTTCCTCCTTTTCAATTGTTTCTATTCCTTTTGAACAAATTGCATCCTCTTTCATTATCATTGCTGAACAGTATAGCTACATTTAAAATTACTATTCTACCTAGAATTTTGTTTTTGTTTCAAACACCCCTGACGTTGAAGACAATAAAGAGAAAAAGAACTGTAAATCAATATATGACTTCTTATTGAGAAGATTATACTTATGAACTATATGACCTACAGATTTTGCTACTTGTATTCTCAGTTTTGATTCAAAAATAGGGAACAGAAGAAATTTCATTTCCAAGTTACTTAAGTGAATTAAATATAAATCAGCAAGACCACAAACTCCCTACCATATTTAAAATTATGAAACTGCATTCAAATTTCATATCATATCACATATGATAAATGCACATTCTTTACTCAGCGCTAAGCAAAATGTTTCTGGATAGTTATAGCAGAGTCAGAGTTTAAACATTTGGCCATATTTTAAATGGAAAAATTACTGCCTGTGACATTGTATTTGCAATTTTGAGATTAGAAAATGGCTTGGGGTTTCAATAAAATAGAGAGTCCCTGCAGTTGTCACAATAAAATACCATCTACATTTGGTTTAACAGGACACTCATTAAATGCACTAACTGCTCTACTGGATGTCAGAAATGTCAGAACTAATCTGTCTGAATTAAAAGATGATATTACCAAATTTAAAAAGGGAGATGAGCCTACTAAACTGTATTCAGTTTGCAAATTACTGGCAAAACTTGAGTGCTTGTTTTTAACATATGATTCACTGGCATGCCTATTGATTCTGAGGAATGAAATACACATGATACAAATATGGCAATGAAATAATAATCACATCCTGAAAATGCTCAAGCAGGTGCAGAAAGAAATACATAATCCTCAGATCCTTTCAAAAAAAATTTATATCCTGACTAGAGAGAAAGGCTAAGCAATGCATAATGATTTAATATAATTAGCACATCAATCTACAAAGGTTATACTTCCTTTGTTTTTCCTTCATTTGCAGAATTTCAAACCCCTATTATTCAACATACTTACCAGACTATTACTCCACATTACTGGAGAATACATGAACTTCTTCAAAACAATGGCATATTTCAAAAGATAATATTTGGGCCAAAATACATGATATTGGAGACTCAAGGATTCTGAATATTCATTTTAGTAGAGATTGTTCTCTACTGTAGAGAGTACATAACACGTTAATAGTTGATGAATTATTAATAAAGTCGTTCATGTTTATATTCAAGAGTAATTTTAACCTTATAACACATTAACAGAAACTGAATTGCCAAATTTATATCTAACTCCTTAGGCAAGATAATTATCAATATTTTTAACTTCACTACTGTCTTTTTTATCAGGAATTCATAACACAAGCTTTCTGTGTAAATTACAACTTGAAAAGCCATTTTTAAAAAATTCATATGTGGCATATTATCAAGTATATTTGGTTCCACAGCACATTATGGTCAAACGCAGCAGGCAGAGGAAAACCTGTTGGCCAAATACATTCTAATTAATGCTAATATTTAACTATAGGTTATAACTACATGGAGTATTGTAAATGTGACTAAAATTCATAAGGCTAAGAGACAATATTAAGAGTAAAGACTTTTGCCAGATACCAATTAGGATTGTGAAATGACAGGGACAATACATCTTGAACAGTAGAACTATACTTAATGGTTTTACAGTGGGAAAAAGCAGCAACCATGTCATCTTTAACCAGTACTTCATATTACAAAATATGCCTTTCTCATTAGACTGTGTTTCACTGGTCTTCAGACTTCTGCAGAAAAGAAAGTGAAGAGAAACATGTATTGCTTGTCACTACAGATGTCCTAATCACTAGTTAATAGGTGCCTTCATGTCTCCCAGAAGGGTATTCAAAATATGTTCATAACTATTGTGGATATCCTAAAGAATAGAATTATTTGCTTGACCAGGATTCAGTTTAGCTTCAGACTTCTTTGCAATAGAAGAAGGTGAACGTACGGACAACACATCAGGACCATGTCCAGTGGCTTAGTAACAAATATGTAATTTCTATATACATACTTTGTCTGGAAAGGCCATTCTTCAAACTAATTCAGGCTTTTTTAAAGATTTAGCAAGGGTATATGTTTTTCCCGCCCGTTCTGCTTCCTTCGCCACTACTTAAGGCAACCCTGTCTCTGTGCATTCTGCCCTTTAATTTTGATCTCAGGCTGCTTTTTGTGTTTGCATATTTTTATTCTTAAAGCCACAGTGATTTTAAGTGCCATTTTAAATCATTAAGCTTTTCTCATTGCCTGAAAACATTTCATCTTTCTGAACTTCAAGAGCTGTTGGTGATTTCATAAGACCTGGATAATTTCATGTCACCTTGGGATAAAATATAACACAATTTTAGGGGATAGCATACTGGCCATCCACATAAATGTGAACAATGGTACCAAGGGCGGTAGAAATCCTTCACTTAGTGAACATCCAAAAAAGAGCACATCAATTCATCCAAGAGTCAGAAACGAATTGCAGGGAGCTTCAGAATTGTCAAGGTTTTCTTTATACTCAATTATACCACAGAATATGTTCCATTAGATGTGTGGTGGCCATCAATTTGGATGTTTTTTAATGAACTAGGCAAATTCATAAAGGATAGAGTTATCAATAATTATAGGTCTGACAGAAATATATTGTCTACAGAATCAAAAGCAGGATACTTTAAATACCAGATGCTAGGATAAACTACGGTAGAGAGATATCTCTTACGTGTTCTGTTTATGAGCTTTCTGGGTACATTGGCTGGTTACTATATACATGTAATGCTAGATTAAGTAGGCCTTTGGTCATGTCCAGCATTGCTTTAATATTCAAAATGTCATTACCACCAGTACGGCAATACAAAAATCTCTGTATCTTTTTCAATACAGTTTCTAAACAGAAAGACTGGGAAGAAGCACCAATTAATTGCAGGATTAGCTGAACAAAATCATAATGTTTGTACATTCATCTTTATTATTTACAATCCTAGATTTCAGCAGTAAATAAAATCCGCTTCAGCAATAGACAATAAACTCATCCCCTCCACCCCACTCCACATACAGCAAAAAAGTAGCCTATAGAACAAAAGGTTCTATACACACTCCTTTACATTTCTGAGAGGATGAATAAAACAATTCTCTACTCATTGGTTCTATCCTGCATTTCAGTTGGAACAATCTAACAAACAGTTACTATGCTGATCCATAAATAAATAAATTCATAGTTGGGCAATATTATTATCAGGTTCAAGTAAAAAGATGCTAAAGAGTATACAAGCTTTTTCAGTTCTCTAGAACTCTTCATAACAGAACATTCCAAATCATCATTTCCCCCAGATTTGATGACATAATGGCTATCACCATTTCTTATCAATAATGAAGTTCACAGGCTTAGTAGCAAATAAAAAAAAGTAAAGTTAATTATTTTTATATCCAAGAATCTAAAAAGTAATGTTAGGTATATAGACTCAGTAAGTCAATTAGATCCTGCTAATTATCATCCGAAACAGAGCAACAGAGCATGTGGCTGTTCACATTAGGACTATTTTTTTAATGTTTCTTTTTTTCTTCTTCTTTTTCTCCATATTCTGATTTCTGTGACATCATTCGGATGGTTCTGGAGAACTCGAAAGCTTTCATGTTGTTGTGTCATTTTAGCTGCTCCTAACAAATCTACTGCTCAGTTGGGGATGGGGGGTTGTTGACTAACAGAAAATAAGCTACAATTTGAACCAAAAGAAGTTAATCAGATTTAGTGTCTTCCCTTGGGCACACCCTGAACTGTTCTCTTGCTGAATTTATTTATTTATATGCTGCCCAATCATCGACTTTGGGCAGCTCACAATGCTAAAAACCAATCACAGACATACTTACCTTCAACAGTAGATCTACGCTCCAAAGGCCTGACAGAAGAGAACTGTTTTTACCTCTTTCTTAAAAGAAAGCAGGGAAGATGCCACCCTAACTTCCAAAGAGAGAGAATTCCATAAGGTTGGGGTGGCCTTGGAAAATGCTGATCTCTGTGCTGCCCCCACCTCAGACCAGCGGGGGAAGGAATATCCCATCTTGTGTAAAAGGTTCAACTCAGAGAAGACTATTCTTGAGGCAACAAATACCTAAGTTATAAAGGGCTTTACAGGTAATAACTATTATTTTGAATTGTACCCATAGCACTATTGACAAACAATGCAGCCCCCCTAATGTAGGAGTTATATTGCTAATCCAGCTCCAGCCAGTTAGCAAGTAGGCAGTTGTATTTTGAACCAACTTTCATTTCTGAATAGTCTTCACAGGCAGCCCAAGGGGAGCACATTATAGTAATAAAGCTGCAAAGTGATGAGTGCATAAGAGAAAATCCCAGAGCATCCTGCTCCAGATATACGCACACCTGACAAACCAGCTGAAGCTGGCCAATGGCTCCATCTGCTGCTCCAGCAAGAGCCACAAAACCAGGAGACACTACTGCTCTTCAGTAGAAGTGAATCCCGAGTAGAGTTGAAGTTGGACTTGCATGAGATTCCTGGATGAAGAGCCACACCGTTTTGTTGGAATTTAACCTGAACTTGTTTCATCCCATCCAGTCCTCACACCCTTCTAGACACTAGGTCAGGACTGCCATGTTATTTCCTGCTTGGCCAGAGTGGAGATGGACACTACATATAGATAACTCACCCTGTAGCAACAAACAAACTTTTCCAACAGCTTCATGAGAATGTTAAATACAGTGGGGGAGAGTACTGAGCCTGGAGGAACCCACAGAGCAGTGACCAAGAGCTCAACCTCTCACTTTCCACCAGCACTGAATGGGCCCACCCATTCAGGAAAGGGTGGAACCGGTATTACACAATGCCCCCCAACCATCACATTATAGAAGGTTCAGAAAAATACCATGATTGGTGATACCAAATATCACCAAGAGGTTTAGCAGGACCAGAACGGCCAACTCCTTCCATCCAAATGCCACTACAACTCATTCACAAGTTTCAGTCCTTTGGCCAGGTCTGAAACATTTCTGTGAGGGATGTAAATATAATTTATGTAAATACCATAACCTAAAAATCACCCAGATAAAATCAGAATATTATTTTTGAGAATAAGGTAAATTCCAGTTTTACATTTAGAATATTAGAAGAATATAGGATAGCAAATCAGACTGGATTATCTATTTCCTTTAATTTGTTGATCATTAACTGTAGACAGTGCTTCATCACTAAGAAATCCACTGAACTACAAGCATTAATCTACACAACTGCAATTTCATATAATAGAACTATTGGGCTATTTTACACAACTCCAGACATCTTTACATTTAAACTGATATTGGACACATCAAGAGAAAAAAATCCTAAAGCAATTTTTGGGTTAATGTCATTACTTTTGAAATTGTCTACATGGTAGGTTTCTACTTTGTCCACAGACTTTTAAAAAGCTCAAAAAATAATACAACTTAAAGTCAGTATTTACAATACCCCAACAGACTACAGCATTATTTAGATTTCTATGCTTACCCTTCAAAACCAGGTTTCCAAGGCAGCTTACAATATATGAAAATCACACACACACACACAAAATCAGGACATATATAATAAAACATAGCTGTTTTGCTATCATATTCTTTTATTTAAAATAAAGTTATAATGGCCTCTTTTAGAGTACGATAGCCAAGAAAAAAAAATAGCCCTGGCCTCTACTTTTTCTCATCAGTTTAAAAAAAGGCACTTTAGCATCTTACAAGAAAAATAAACTTAGCTATACTCACCCGATCTGCTGATCCAACTTCTTCACCAGCTAAACAAATAGTAGAGGCCATCTCCAGAACCGATAAATTGGATGGGGCATCAGTAGTAGATGAGGATCTGGGACGGCCTGAATTAATATCTTGGACAGATTTCCTGTTGATCTGAGGACTTCCTTTCGGAGGATCTGACTTGCCCCGTCTGCTATGAAGGCTTGTTCCTCTCTTCATTTTAGGTGGCACTCTGATTTGTTGGAGAACTCTATTCAGAGCTGTAGAGTGGGTAGAGACACCATCAATTTCAGCACACGTGTTTTGGTTTTCCAATTCTGTTTCAGGTTCCATATTAACCTGAGCTTGTTGAACATCATGGGGAGATACTGACGACCTCCTACGCTGATGCTGGAAGAGGTGCTTCAAACCTTGACCGATTACATTAATGTTCTCCAAGGCATTGTGGGTAATTTTTGACAGCTTTTGTTCAGACTCATGCTGCCTTTTGTTCTCTGGATCTTGAGTTTTGTTTCCAACATCAGGGTCATCATAGAGTTGCTCACCACTAGAAGGCTCCATCAGGTGACACGCAAGTTTATTTGACAAGTCAAACACAAATGTGTTGGGTCTTTAAATTTTGTTTTTTTGCTAAAAAATGCCAAGATTGTCAGCCAATAAAGTGTGCAATTGCTTCAATTGTGCATATACATACAGCTGTGCCACGCTGGTCTCATGCTTATCTAATGTTAAAGAAAAACCTAAAGTTATCCATCATGCACAGATTAATATAAATCGATGTGAAAACATGCAATTAGTTTACTCTTTCCTCAAACTCTAAAGCATCCTATGAAGCATCTTTTTACCATGGAGATTAAGTATATTATCTGTTGAGGGCAGCACATAGAATTTATGAATAGTTTGTTTTTATCAGGAAAAATGTCCAAGGAAAGAAGGAAAGAACTGAAAACTATAAGCCATGCTTCTCTGAAAAAATGCTGCTACACTGGAAGCAAAAAAAAAAAAAAAGCCAAAATGATATGAAATAAAATTGTGAATTATATCTCATAATGTAGGAAATACCTAGTGATGTAAAATTTCCAGACAATTTAAAGTGGGTGAAAAAATATTTTCCCATATTTTGGAAAAACACAAACATTGAACAAACTGAAATATATATAATATCTATCATTTAGGATCTTAAAAATTATTATGCATAACTTAATATGTTTGTAAATATATGTTTGTAATATAAATCTGAAAACTATAATTCATTCCAATAAACGCACTGATTAAATTTATTTTACTTTTATTTTTTGTTATAAATGATGCTACAAACAACATAGCATCTCTTCATTTTTGCTTAGGAGAAGCAGGCAGACAGGTAAACATTTATTGTTGAGAAAAACTATAAACATTATTGAAAATCCTACAAAGGTACGCATTCCTCTGTATCAGAAAAATACAAAAGACATTAATTTTCAGAGGAAAACTAGCTATAAAGTGGGAAACAAGGCTCAAAATACATTTTACCAAACAAAGCATTTAACAGATTCATTTTCAGAATCTGAAGTAATGTTAGCAGCTTCTACTTCTAATCTTTATTTTTCATGGATTTCTGAAAATGTGTTTATGTTGAAATAACTTTTGCTACCATTTCATAGATTATGTGCCATCAAGTCATTTTCAACTCCTAGCAACCACATGCATGAGGTGTTTATATTTCTAGTATAGACCAATCTATTTCACATATTAACCATGTAAAGCATTACTGAAAAAGGAAATACAAAGAATATTATACTCATTCTTTAAATTTATTTATTTCTGTCTGCCTAGGGTTTTTGAAAAAGAAATAATAAAATGCCTTGGGGAAAGAATGCAAAGAAAGAGAAAAAAAGGACATTTACCCCCAAATTTTTGAGTTTTTTTCTCTCAGGCTTAATACATCTCTCATACAGATGTATTAAATACTCTCATGGTATTTAAGAAAAGCAACACAGTCTAGTACAGTAAGCCACGAGGCTGGCTAAGCAATAAATTTATCTTGTTCACGCTCACTGGCTCCACCTACAAGTTGGTATGGCTAATGAACAATTTGTGGCCTAGTTAATTATGCTTAAAACTCATCCACAAACCATTCTAATTGGGTCTTGAAGGTCCACAGCTAACCTTTATTTAAGGATGTTCTCACAACACAGCTTTTGTTTCATTCCCAGCCCACAGATGAGGCTGCCTAACTTAGTATTTAACTGATCCAATATTAGAATGGTGTTTTCCATCATCTCCCATCACAAGCCTTGCTCTATGCTTGACTTATGGTGCTTTGGTGGCCACTGTAGTAATGAACCAACAGGGGCTGGGATCTGCCTAACCCGTATTTGCCATATTTGACAACTGCAAGCAAGACCCTTCCCTCTGGTCAATGGTGACTTCTCTCACCATTTTTGCTTGGGCAACAAGGACAGTTCACGCACAAGGCATCTGCCCACCTAATGTCTAACAGGCACTTTGTGAAGCATCAGTCAGGCATTAGGCTGGTTCCTTATTTACCATCTAGCTGTATCATGCAAGGCTGCTAGATGTGTACAAGAAAATGTCCCAACTGTCAGGCAGTTTATATGGTGGAATAGTCCATCTTGCTTCATCTGGTGCCACTCCGCCTCACGTGGTGAATATCAGTTGAAGCATTTCTCCTTACGCTAATGAGAAAATGGGGGAAGCAGCTTCACTTCCACCCTATTTCTCTTATCATCTTTTTCCGATGCCAGGCTTGGAGAAGTGTCATGACAGATAGTGGGTCGAAGAGAAGTGAGGAGAAATGAGCCAATACTACCTCCTTTAGGTGAGGTAGCCTGCCTGATAAAGCAGGCTCCTGCAGATGATCTGCAGGGTAGTGGTGTCTCCTGCTTTACTGAGAAGCTGTTCCTAATTTAAAGATCAGGTTCTGATGGCTGTACCCAGGGGTCAAAATTTGCTTCCTCTTTCAGCTCCAGCCCCATCCCATGTTATGAAGAATGCCTGGTGGATGTTTGTCCTACCAATAGGAAATCCCCTAATTACTTTCCTTAAATTATCCTTCAATAAAGATGTAAAGACAGCAGCACTCACTGGCCTCGTTACTGAGCCTGACAGGATACATCAAATTATGCTTACATACTTTTGTGCCACCTCATAGCCTGAAGGAAAGCCCATTTAAAGCAGCTGTCCAGATAAACCCTTAGCGTGAATGTGAACACAGGACTCTGGCCTTATCCATCCAGAAGACACTAGAACATGAAGCCATAATTTGTTGTTAATGACTTCTTCAGGTAGATGAAACCAGAATTCTATTGTTGTACATTTATTTATTTGATTTGTTATGTATAACACTCAGGTTAGATAACCAAGCCACTGAGAACTAATTAGCCATACTTGTAGGCAAAGTCAGCAGGTTTATGAGGGAAAGTTTACTGCTAAACCAGTATGGAAGTACAAGTGGATCTAGTTTAGAGTTTTAGGAACAAATTTGTCCTTCAAGAAATAACTTCAGGCAGGAGAAACCGGCAAACAGATATAACTATAGGAAAAAGCGCCAAGCAAAGCTGAAGCAAAACTGCTAGAAAAGAAACTTAATGGAAGCAGTGAAAATTACATAAAGGTCCACACATTTAGTTTAGTCTGAGGGATGACATGCAAAAACTTTATAAAATGATAAAACACTTTGTATAAATAAAGCTCTAAGTCTTGACAAAAAGCAGTTTTAAGCTATATCCATAAATATCTGATATATTTATATTGGAGAAAATATCCAATACAGCATTATGATGTCCAAAGTGGCTGTGGGATTTGCATATCATTTGCAGCTAATTTATTTGCAGAGACTGAAATGACCTATCTTAATTGTTTTTTAAAATTATCTAGAAACACCAAACCTCAAGTTAGATACCACTAGTACTCCTACTCATGAACTCTGAAACCCATAAAGGAGTGGGAACAATGTGAAAAACAATTATGGAGATATTTTGATCTGTTGTGGTTAAAGGAGCCATGTGCATAAAATGTGTAAGATTATTAAGATGCAAAATACCATAAAGCATACAAAGTAAGGATATACTCTCCAACATTAACTCTAATTCAGAAAACCAGCTATCAAAATATCTAGTATAAGTGAAAAACTGAAAAACTCCAAAGAGTGTAAGTTATAAAAGTTGCAAAGCAGAGTTTATCTAGAGCACTGTTTCCCAACCATTACAATTTCCACACAGGTTCACTTCAAATCCCAAAATTCCACAGACAACATGGCCATCGATGAGAATTCTGAGAGTTGAGGTCCACACACCAGAAAGCTGCCACATCTGGGAAACACTGATCTAGAGAGTAATCAGACTCCCCTGGGTTACATAAGTTAGACATTTCTGTATTTGTAAGTAGAACAATACAAGTTGCTACACAATCATTCACTCCCTTTTGCAGTTAGCCATACTAATTTCTCAGTTAAGTTATAGTTTATTACATAGTGATTATATGCTCAGAAAATGTACATCTTCTATGCTTTACTCAAAATACCAGTTGTATTTGCATGTGCTGCAGAATCAGAGAGATGTTTATAGGTGAGTAACGTGACTGTCAGGATACTGAATTCTGCATTTACCTACCATCAGCTATAAATACTTTATGCATTCTACATGGATTGTCACCTTGTACTGAAGCCTTAGACAGATTTAGGTCAGAAATGGGCAATTCCCAAACACCTGTACCCTAATATTGAACTGCTGAAATTGAGCAGCAAAATTACCAATTTCAGTGGCCTGATAACTGTCTGGTTTTTAAATTATAAAAATGTGAACAGATAGGCTCATTTCCACACTTAATCTATCCCCACCCACCCCAAAGTGCCCAACTAACTCAGTCAAAATTCAGTGACAAGAATGACCAGATTTCAGTTATGCATTTTTGGTTTTTTTCACGGTGGGTTTGTTTAATAGTGGGAATGGAAGTGGTTTAACTACCAGATGCTTTGTGCACCCATTCTCACACCTACAACCTCCAAATTCCTAAAAGGTAGAAAAAAAAAAAAAAAAAGAAGCCGAACATCTGTAGCCGTACTCTTTCTAGGACCTCACTAAGGATCTTCAGCAAATAAAGAAGTTAAACTGCAGCTCTTGCATCCCTTGCTCATCACTGATTCAGAGTTATTTTGTGGTAAATTTGACCACGTTTCAAGATAACATGAAAATCATACACATTTATGGCTAATTAGATTTTTTCAGCATCTTTCTTCAAAATGTCATTTAATATTTCTTAAACAGACCTACTTCTTCCTTATGATTTTAGCAAAATGTTTAACTACTTTTATAAAAAGGCTAATTATAAGTACTCAACTAACAGTAAAGTGATATCAGGTAAGGTGGTAACAGTTTTCAACATTATAAAATTCTAAGTTCCCAGAAAAGATACCAGATTTGCTGATCAATATAACAATTCTTTTCATACAATGCTTTTGCAACCAGATCTCCTCATGCAGCACATGCTGGAGAAAATGCAATTTTAGCTAAGGAACTGAGTAAATACTACAGCCTGCTTGAATAACTTCTTCCAGTGCACTTATCAAAATTCTCACATGCCTGTAAACATTTCCATCTGTTGATCTGCCTTTTCAACAGCATTTTTCAAATTCTGTATATAAAAATATTTTGTTCATATGAAGTTCTGTTCCCAATAATAATATAACATTTTCTGTTATCTTAAGTATAAATTAGGAAATGAGCTTCTTACCTCCACCATTTATCCTTAAGCATGAATAGTTGGTGGGGCTCCTCTTCAAACAGCAGCTTGGGAAGGAAAAAATTAAACAAATCTTAGAACAGAACCCTGCATATCAGAAGGGTGTACTGAAATATGTACTGTACTAGGTGTTAGTTCTAGCTGACCTCAGGATAGTCACTAAAGCAAAGAACAGAAAAATACAATGATTCCTACGCACCTGCTGCTATCTGCAATTTTTTGTTTTGCTGAATGTTAGCTTCCTTCACAATGCTCTATTCTGTCCCTACAGCCAAACAATCTTGACATGAACTGCCAGAATTGGTGAAAGATACGGCTTCTCCAAGCTGAACTTTCTAAATGCACAATTATTCAAGAACAGGTTTCATTTGTAACTTACAGTACTACAACCAAAACGAATAGATCTTTTTATGTTTTAAATTATCTTTCTTTCAAGCTGACTTTTAATTTTTAAAATAAAATTATTTAAATAGCTTACTATTATTATTTCATAGCAATATGAAAATAATTCAGATTTGGAAAAAAGTGTAAGTAAAACATGTTGATATTGGTCTAGATTGCTCTCAGAATTCACCTAGCTTTTTGTGATCAGGGCCGTGCTTTTCATTATGGAGGGGCTACTAGAACAAGACAATAGTACAGTTGTGTCATTGGTATGTTGTTCTCTTGCAGTATAGGATATTCTGAGGTACACAAAAAAAGAGGTAGGAAGACACCCATGGATATTTAAGTTCCCCACATTTCTGCTAAAAGCATCAGGCATTTGATTAAACACTCACTCATTCCAAAGATTTGTCCAATCCATTCTTTGCAAATTTTGTTCAGGAAAATACAAGTAATTTGATGCATTTTATAGATATGTATATATATTACGTTACTGAGTTGTGACAGTTATAAGATGCATTATTGTTTTACCAAAATATTAACAGTAATTCTACATTAAGACATTTAAATACAATATACAATTATACAATAATATATAAAATATCCTAGCAGATTATATTTTTAACCCACATTTCTTCTAAGAAAGCTTGTGGGGCATACATTTCCTTGACATATGTAGGAGTTATATCATTATTCAATTAGACAGGCTGAGTTAAGATAATATTATTAATGTACCTTACATGGCTATATTACAGAAATGACATGTGAAACAGCTTGAATACTGACTCAAATATTAATAAAACTGTCCAGTAGCTTTACAACTGAAAATGAAATTTGATTCTGGTTCATTGCAACAACACTGATGAGCCTCAAATGTAATTTACTTGGTAATGTATGTGTTTACATACACCTGATATAAATATATTAAGATATCCAGTGAAAACTATCTAGTCAATCTCTGTGCTAATTATCTAGTTATTAATTCATTGGAAGCAATATAAAACTGAAGAAGAATCAGCCAAATCTGCTAATTGAGAAAGACAGTATGGATTCAGAAACTTGAGGAATGCACAATACCAAATCTGTGCTGCAAAACAGTTACCTAATAAATAATAATTAATGCTGCATAGCTCAGTTATCTGTGGCTTAGAAAAGTTTAAAACATACTACGCAACTAAAGGCAAATATGTTTCCATATTATTACAAAACAACTGAGCAGAAATCCTGTCCAAGCAAACTACCTTTTTCTAATTGAAAGGAACAGAAGGGAAGCAATTCATAATGGATAGGCTAAGATGCTATTATTTTTTGAAAACTTAAAATTCCAGAAGGTAATACTTGATAATTCTGTTCAACAGTGTGTCTACTGGCAGCTGTTGCTACTAACATCTGCTTCCATCAAAGTCCCATTTTGAGCTTCAAGATGGATAATTATGTTATAATTTAAATATTTATATGAATTTATTCATAGACATTCTGAATGTTATAGGTACAAAACAAATATGACTATCATGAAACAATAAATATTCCAAGATATAGATATCAAACTGTCTTCTGGAAATTATGAAGGTTATAAATAAAACTAGAGTTATGAAACATATATGAATAAGACTAATTTAAGACATGTTCTGTAGTTATATTAGTGTCACAGAATATACAAATCCTAACTGACCCAAACCATCTGTGTTAAAGCTCCCAAAAGACAACTGACTTGCAATTCAGATTAAGTTCTATTTCATGATTTACAATAATATCTTCCTTTAGCTGGCAGTTTATGACTAAATCACAATTACTCCATTATTCTTGGCTGGAAATGAGGTTTATGTTAAGGCAGAAAAAACTGAAGGGAGAAAAGTAAGAAAGAATAGGAAAGAAGGAATAAGGGGACAGATACAATGAAAATGTAAGTGACCTCCTGGAAGAATATTGCACTAATTGCTGATTAGCAATACAAATTGTTGGAATAATGATGATTTATTATTATGATATGATTATCTATTACTTAAAAGAGCCTACCGTTATCTATTACTTAAAATAGCTTACCATTAACAGTAAATTATATTATTGTTTCTTTTTAAATTCACATGAAATTGTACTGTATGTTCTACATTGTTCCTCTTGTGCAATTCTGAAAATGCTCTAATCCAGGGGTTCCTAAACTTTTTGCCATCACACCTCCCTTTAGTGTAATCTTAATGTACGCAGCACCCCTAAAAATCCAAAACCAAAATGAATACAAAAGAACAATGAAAACAATACAGTGAAACTTTGGGAAAGGTTGATTTATTGAGACAATGTAATTAAAACATTTTTCATACCTCCCCTGGACTCTGTCTGGACCTCCCCAAGGGAGGCAAACCTCAATTTGGGAAACCCTGTTCTAATCTAACCATCATATTTTCAGATGTAAATAAGTGAGGTTGCTCAGTCAGTAAAACAAAACTTTGTAATACAATTTTTTTCCACCACCTCACAGACAGAAAGTATGGGGTTATGTGAATGCTAACAGAGACATATATGCCATTGGTGTAACTCTTGTGATCACAACAGTTATCCAGCTTTGTATTAGCAGAATTATATCTCACAGCAAAGCCTGTCCATGTTGAATCACCATAGACAATTACAGTCAAAATCTAATCGTGCAAGCTTAGCTTTTTTTCTGATCCTTCACTCTGATAACTGGAGTAGGCTATTGTACCGCGTCAAACAGTATAGAAAAGAAATGTGCATTCAGTTACAATACCATTAATATGGTGTGAAAGCATGCTTTTTTTGGTCAGCAGTGCATCAGGATCAATGTCAATGCTAGAAAAACAGTAAAGTCCAAAATTCAAAACGGAATACTATGTTTATTTGAAGCACTGGTTAAAATACTGACCAACTGCTGTTTCTGCAAAAAATTTTGACTGGCCCCTGACATCCAGCTGTTTTCAAAACCTCATAACTTATTTTTGTAGCATTAATTTAATATGTTCAAACTGACTGATATTGTGTCCTTGCCATTAGCAGGAAATGTCTGTGATATAGGTATAACTAAAGCTGGTGAGTCGATGCTTTTTCCACCTTACTAAAAGGCATTATGTGAAAGCCTAGACTGACCAAAGCTTTGATTAGTGGTATACAACACTATCTATGGACTCATCTAATAATGACTACAGCATAAACTGGATTTAGCTGGACTTTTTTTTCCTCTTATTTCTTGCCTTTTGCTTATTACCTCTTGGGTTTTTTTCTGCACTTTGCATAACATTGCCAGTCATAGAAGAAAATAACATGATGCCTATACATTATCTCAATCCTGAACGTCTAGAGAGGTAGGGATAATCCACAGTCCCAGAAAAATTACCTTCCAATAATTACTTCCAACACCTTTCTCTGGATCCACATCAAAAGAGAGAAAATAAGATAGCAGAGCTACTTGACTCTGTGTCTTCTTCTCTCTGTATTCCAAACATGTAACATGAAATCAGGATTCAGGGCCCATTTCTAACTAAGGCTTTTTCTGGCAAACACAACTCTGTTTTGGGCACTGACGCCAACTAAAATGTGCTAATCCCTGATAAGTGTTACTCCGGGAATGGAGACGTATTTCACAGTTGTAGCAATCATTAAAACACAAGCATAGGAATGTGGGTTTCATCCAACTTTTGATGATCTGAACAGCAATCCAATTCTATTCCTAATTACATTACAGGTCTCTGACAGAAACAGCTTTATATATCTATAAAGCAAGGCTTGAAATAGTTGAAAAACTTGTAAAGTATCCTAACATGGATTAAGTTTATAGTAGATCATCTTGGGGAATACTTCAAATCTACCTTCTGCAGTCATCAACAAGATTAGAGTCTTTTATTAATTTTTGAAGCATCGTTCCCTTCATCACCATGTTCAGCTGATTGTACTAACTGAACTGAAAGAAGATAGAATCATTTAAGAATAAAAGGATGGCTATGCTTGTTCAGAGGATGAAATACACACAAACATCCTTCTTTAAAACCTGAAAGAACAAAATAATTTAGGGGCCCAATGAGATTTAAAGCATGGTTTGTTTTCACATAATATTGAATGTGGAATGGTATCCCCTTCTGGAATGAATAATTTGCTGAAACCTGCAAACCTCTTAGGAAGGAAAGACAGATTTGTAACATTTTGTTGCAGATCTTGTCACAACTAAATTTCATCAACATAGTGTGACTGCTGACAAAAAATAAAATACTGTAAAAAGGTAAATTCCATGCTTGGAATCATTAAGAACGGAACTGAAAATAAAACAGTCAACATAGTGAGGCCTTTATAGGTCAGAGATACTGTGAACAGATCTAGTCACCACACCTCAAAAGGGATATTACAGAGCTAAAAAATGCAAAAAATAATAATCAACATGATTAAGGAGCTGCAGAAGTTTCTGTACTAGGAAAGATTATAGCTTGCTGGGACTTTTTAGTTTGGAATGAAGATAGTTAAGCCAAGGCATATTAAAAGTATGGAAAATACTTTTGTAGAGATCTTTTGCTATCAGATTCCAGGCTAGATTATAGTACTGAGAGAACACTGATCACACTTGTAAATGGCCCAGGATGGGACAGTGTATAAATTCTGGCCTTTGATCTCTTTACAGCTTCTGAAACCACTGATCACTGTATCCTTCTGGCCCAGTTGAGGT